AAACATTCATGATATACAGTAATGTTTGTCTGGAAATATAATTATAGGGAAATTTGAACCTGATCAAGCAATAATGTGTATAATTACATTGCGAAAACGAATTTCATCATGGCGGATAATTTACAAGTTAAGATTTTTCCACAACAAAAACATCATTTCCTTAAGAAAAGGATAGAAACCTGCAACAATAAAAGTACAAATTGATGAATTAAGCTCAGCCTGGTAAAACATAAAAATTTGAATTTTCACTAATAAATAATAATACAAGGAAAGACAACAACAACAACAAAACGTACAAAACGGTTCGGGTACTTGATTGTTAAACAACTGACTTGAAATAAATTTGCTATATTCTGCGTATAATGTAAAATATATTACTTGTTTCTACCATCAATTACTATGTTTTTAGTTTAAATTACCTATATTTTCTTTGATACTACCTATATTTTCTTTGATACCTTCTTTATTTTCATTCATTTACTGCTTCCAAGAATACACAATAATTAATAATTATACTCGTAGGTTAATATTTTGTAAATTTTGAGGTAAACTAATCAAGTCATCATAAAGAAATGAAAACTTTTCTTCCAATTCAAGTTTGAAGCCATGACATAATTGATTTAACCCCATTTTGTCGGCTTTGTCCCAATAAAAATGTTTAGATTCATGAATATACATTTTATGATCAAGATGTTAAAATGTAAGAGATGTGTTGACGTATTCAAAGTCTTATTCTAATTTTCAAAGCTTTTAGATAAGAGGAGTATGAGGTATATGTAGTTATAAAGTAGAGGATATATTCCGATACGTGTTTCACGTAAAATTGTACACGTAAATCCTATTACTTTTTAATCACCCTAGTATAATAGTAAATGAATTTAAAATCTTTTGAAATTAGAATAAGACTTTGAATATGTCAACACATCGAATAATACATATAATAGTAAATTCATTTTTAGCTCACCTGTCACAAAGTGACAGGTTGAGCTTTTGTGATCGCTTTTCATCCGGCGTCCGACCGTCGTTCGTCCGTCCGTCCGTAAACTTTTACTTTAATTGACATCTCCTCATAAACCACTAAGCCTATTTCATCCAAACTTCAAAGGAATTTTTCTTTGATGGTCACCTTTAAAAATTGTTCAAAGAATTTAATTCCATGCAGAACTCTGCTTGCCATGGCAACCGAAAGAAAAAACTTTAAATATCTTCTTTAAAAAAAACCAAAGAGCTACAGCTTAGATATTTGGCATGAAACATCTTCTAGTGAGTGTCTACCAAGTTTGTTCAAATAAAAGCCCTGGGGTCAAAATTGGCCCCGCCCCAGGGAGTCATTGATTTTCCCTATATGCATATAGTAAAAACTTAAAAGACTTCTTTTAAAAAACCCAAAAAGCTAGAGCTAAGATATTGAGCATGAAACATCTTCTAGTGAGTGTCTACCAAGTTTGTTAAAATAAAAGCCCTGGGGTCAATATTGGTCCCGCCCCAGGGTTCATTGATTCTCCCTATATGCATATAGTGAAAACTTAAAAAAATTTTCTTTTTAAGAACCCAAAGAGCCAGAGGTAAGATATTTAGCATGAAACATGTTCTAATGGGTGTCTACAAAGTTTGTTCAAGTAAAAGCCCTGGGGTCAAAATTGACCCCACCCCGGGGGGTCATTGATTTTCCTTATATGTGTATGGCAAAAACTTAAAAATCTTCTTTGAAAAAACCCAAATAGTTTGAGTTTAGATATTAAGCATGAAACATCTTCTTGTGAGTTTCTACAAAGTTTGTTCAAATAAAAGCCCTGGGGTCAAAACTGGCCCCGCCCCAGAGGTGTCATTGTTTTTAACTATATGTGTATAGTAAACACTTAAAAAATCTTCTTTTAAAAAACCCAATGAGCTAGAGGTTACATGTTTAGCATGAAACATCTTCTTGTAGGTGTCTACCAAGTTTGTTCAAATAAAAGCCCTGGTGTTTAAACTTGCCCCTCTATGGGGGCCTATATACAGGTGAGCGACCTCAGGGCCATCATGGCCCTCTTGTTTCAAGTGTCAGGAAAAAAACACAGGAAGGACAGTATGATAACCCTAAACTAAGTTACTCACACGGTTAGTGTGACATTATGGAGACATTTACTTGCATATTTATTCTGTATGTTACATCGTTCGTTTTTTGAAAGCGTCTTGACAAAGAGGTAGGGCTGTTTGACATTTGTGGCTATATTATTAAACTACGTGTGAATCACCATGTTAGCTTGGTATAATTGAGCCATTTACCTTCAAATCTATTCTGTCTGTAACATCGTTTATTTTTGCAAGTTTCTGGCAAAAACAGGTAGCTGTCTGTCATCTGTGGCGATTATCTTAAAATACGTGTTAACCACCATGTTAAACAGTTTTATACCTGTCAGAATACTTTTATATCTATAAGGCATAATAATACATTTTCAATAAACGGATAAGAATAAATTGAAATAAGTTATATCCTTCATTTCTAGAATAGTGTTATTCCAATGGACTTATGATTTTCATTTTTTAATTACATTAGCATCGAGTATTCGTTTAAAGAATTCAAAAACTCCTTCTATGGAGAAATGTTAGCGTGCTTTATATTAAAAATGTTCTTAAAATCTTTTCTATTAGAGGACATTTAAGTAGTTTGAAACAACATATCTAATAAGATTTTACAAATTTTACAAAACTTAAGCGTGGAGAAATGTTTATTTACATTAAGCGAATTTCTGCCTCTATCAACAAACAAAATTACGCTTAACGTTTACAGTTACTTGTTCGATAATAGCAGCATTAACAAACGCCCTTTTAACCATTTACTTATGTTAAATCTGATTTTTTTATGTGCAGTTGTTGAAAAAAGTATTGATCTAAAATAATATTAAAAAAAAATCGATCAATCAAGCAATCAATCAATCAATCAATCAATCAATCAATCAATCAAACATGTTTCTAAACCGTTTCTTATGTGAAAGCTTCGACTATATAGTACAGGTCCATGTTATAACACGTCTTAATAACATGTTCAGCAGTCAGTAAAAATATACCTTGGATTTTTCAAATGTAATTTCAAGTCTAGTTGAACTGTTTTGGAATGAGGATGACGGGAAAATATCATCAATGGATGAATGTTTCATCAGAAATATACTCCTTTGGAAGCACTTGAATATTTACACACATTTTCAAAACGTTAAAAACATAGCAACAAACAAAACAACAACAACACCACTTAAAAAAGACAAGACATTTAAAATAAAATTGAAAAGTTTTTTTATCATGCAATTTCAAATTAAAGTTCACTCGTCGAAACATCTCATGTGTTACTTACCCTTTGAAATGTACTTCGCATATGACGTGACAGTGGTAAATGCGTAGGACAATCAGTCTTGCAGGCGATGTTTATTCAAAAACCGTCAGGGTCAAGCCGTTATTTCCTTGAAATATTTCTAAACTAACAAATAATCATTCCCTATATATTTCAAAGATTTAAACGACCTTTAGATTCAAACAGTACGCAAATCCTCAATGACTTGCAATTTAGAAAAAAATATTGACAAAATATAAAATAAATTAAGCACATCAAATCATTGCATTATAAAGTACAAAAGCGTTATATGTGCCTCGAGCAAACATGTCATGCCGGTAAAGAGAGAAATATGAATAACTTTATATTTTAGAATTCCAAAATTTTGTAAGCAAAAGTCTAATTTGAAATTGACTGATTTTTTAAGAATTTTAAAATAATATTGCTTTAATCGGGAAAAGTACTCTAAAAGTTTGCAACAAAACCATTGCTATATATTCTGCAAAAATACTGAATCCCTAAAGAACGCCCAGACAGACAAAACATGAAAATGTTGCAGGTTAGGTTTGATTGAGCCTGTTCTTGATTGGAACTGTTAAATGCAAGCTACCGTCCACGTCTCATATATTCAGCTTAAGCAAAATTTAAAAACAAAACATATTTGTTTACTTTAAAATTTGGCAATGAAATCTTTTTATTTCGTGTTTTTATTTGTTTACTACCTTTTTAATTTGTCACATTAAAACATTTGCTGAAATCGAATTTCCTGAAGTTATCAATGCGGAGTGTTTTGCCAGATATCCATTTTTTTCTTGAGTTGCAAATGTTTTCAAAATCCTGGCAAACTTTAAATACTGCCTTGGTTTCCAGCTTTTCTTGTGACATCTTTTCTGACGTCCATAATGTTGATGCTCTCACGGCGAAAATGTTGTTTATTAAAACTCCAACGTCGATATAACGTCATATTTTCAGGTAACGTTGCCATAACGTTATTTTAAGTGTTTATCTTATTAAGAAAGTAGGTAGAGTGGGTGGACCAATGCTCGGCGTAAAATAGTACTTCTGTACGAATATCTAAAACATTTAACAGAATACCCAATTTAGGTCACCGGTTCTTTTATTTACATTAATCGCGATTTTATCCTGGTGCGGTTCACTTCCGTCGAAGTCACGTGACCACGGTATAGCAGACGACGGTCTGAATAAATTCAGTACAGATTTCGAGTTGTCTTGTTTTACATACAATATCTGCCATTAAACAGGTAAGATTTTAAGTTTTTTTATGAATAAGGAAGAGAAATCAAATTTCAATGTATTTTCATGTTTTCTTATAAAAATTCACAGTTGAAATTTAACAAACAGCATGGATTTATACGGACCCCTCCATCTACAGTGCATATCAACATTGTATACCCTGTTCTTTTGTACTTCAGCAGTAGATAGTCATTAGAAATGAGAATTTGTGACTTTTTTTGTTTTAAAACAAATTTATTTCTTAAAAGATAAACCCGACTATTTTACAATAATTCACAGAAAAAATAACTAAAAATATCTAAACCGCACCTTTTTATTCTGCTTAATTATCGTGGTGTCCATTAAGAATTCAAAATCATGATTTTAATCCTATTTTCAACTTGCTGATTGTTTGATTCAAAAATGCCACAACAACAGAAAAAATCATGATAGTGGTCAGATGACAAAAGCTGTGGCCGCAGTAAAGAGGGGGATATCTGTCTACAAGGCATTGCACTTGTATGGAATTCCTCAGTCCACACTGAAGGACTATACCAGAGGGCGTTACAGAGGGTTAGATACTTCTTTTGGACGTACACCAATAATAACATCAGAGGAGGAAGCAACACTTGTGTCCTATATACTTTACATGTCTGAAAGAGGATTTCCTCTGTCAAAGAAAATGGTTCGAGACCTCACAAGAGAAGTAATTATGGCCACAGGTCGAAATACTGTTATAAACACCCAGAAAGGACCTTCAAACAAATGGATGAGGAAAATCTTCAAAAGACACCCAGAACTTTCAATTAGAAATGCTCACAGCCTTGATAGACCTAGAGCTTCTATCACTAATGGACGGTTAAAACAGTACTTTGAATTGTTAGATAATACCCTGAAACGTTTGTCTGTCTATAATGATCCCACGCGTATTTTTGATTGTGATGAAACGGGTTTTAGTGGTAGTTATTCAAGTTCTGATAAGTCTGTTGTAGCCAAGAAAGGTGTAAGACATGCTTTTCAAGTACAGCTGTCCTTGTCTGGTCATGTCACCGTGAATTTTGCAGTATCAGCTTCTGGCTAGACACTGCCACCATTAATCATTTGCCCAGGGCCTCCTTCTCTGATGGGTTACCTGATAACTGGTTGTTCGAGACCACATATTCTGGTTTCATTAACACAGATCTCTTTTGCCTGTGGTTTGAGCAAATATTTCTCCAGTTCTGTGGAAAAAGACGACCTTGTTTGCTAATCATGGAAAACCACTTATCCCATGTGCCAGGTAGGGTAGTAAACCTAGCTATGGAGAATGGTATTGATCTCCTGTATTTCCCTTCCCATTCACCCCACTTACTGAAACCTTTAGATATGGGGTATATTCATGTTTTGAAGGCAAAGGTAAGATGTAAAATTTGTCAGACCTTGGTTATGCTGTCACTAGATCTCTGCCTCGGCATCTGTTTCCAAAGGTTTTGCACCAGGCTATGAAAAGGATTACGCCTGCAACTGTTGCTGCTTCTTTTTCTCCCACAGGAGTATACCCCTATAACAAGTCTTCTGTTAAGGCTTTGTCAGGTCCTGTAAAGAAAATAAAAAATGTTCAGTCCACATCTAGCACTACTGATGTGTCAAAAGATGCATCAGTTTTAGGCCATGTTCCGAATATGCTTGTTAAAATCGGGATGGTACCCGAAAGTCTTGCTAAAGTTTTTCTAGAACCACCAGCACTAGAGCCTTCCAAAAAACGCAGAACCACATATGATAAGGCAATGGTTGTTGAATCGAAACATACAAAAAAGTCTGAAGGTCATTTAAAGAAAGTTAAATCTGCTGAAAGCCAGTTAAAATCCACTCCTTTATCTCCCTTGCCCGAGTGTGTCTCTGGTACAGCAGTGTCGGCTGATCCAATGTCCGACGATGGTGTCTGTGTAATTTGTATGACCAGCAGACAGTTGTACTGGGTTGAATGGATAGGTGTGATACCTGGTATAACTATGAATGCCTTCCTTCCTCTGAACAGACAGACGTAGATAAAAGTCTTGTTTGTGAAACTTTGTGGCTATGTAATACCTGTCGAAAAACAGAGGAATATATATGATAACAGATTTACACAGTCTGACATGATTCTGATAAGACTGATTGTTTTATTTGGAAAATACATATATATCTTAATGAACTGTTGGTTATATTGATACTATATGTTCAAACTTAGTTATATGTGTAATGTCCGTGTTATGTTTCGAACAAAGGCTGAAAAGAAAAAAAATATTTGAAAGTTTATGAGTAATGCATATAGGGGTTGTAAAATGCGCAAAAAATAAAGTAAAAATAAATTTATTGACTTAATTGCTTGTTACAATGTATTAAATATGTTATCTTCATCACATTGGAAAATAAATATTTTGAAAATCAAACCTAGACCACTTTGTACAGTACACCGAGCTTTGGTAAAATTTCACTTTAACCGCACCTGTTTATCCCGGCTTTATTTATCTCTCACCAAATACGTCATTATGTGATCAGCGAAATGTAAACAATGGTTAATGGAAACAATATCATCGGTCTTGAAAATGAACATATAACATTAAGGTAAGTTGACTCTAATTATTTGTTTTAATCTAAAATATTGTGTTTTTACGCCGAGCATTGCTCCACCCACTCTATGTTTACACGCTTAATAATAAGTTCATTACGAAAATTCGGACTAAGGCGTTGGCGCATTACCATGGTTATGAACATGGCTGGCAGTCTTAAAGGTTCGTAATAATCAATTTGAAGTTTCATTGTTTTGAAAAGGAATAACAACGCTATCAATTGATAAATTCTAATCAAAATATCTTCTGAAATGAAAAAATAAGGACATCAGAAATAAAATAAATGAGGACATTAGTATACGAATATATCGAACGCCCTCGTGGTTTCTTGAATTGGCAAAATTATGGCAGACGTAGCCACTTGAATACCTTTTAGACAATACTTGAAATGGCTTTCAGTGATAACATTTATCACGCTATGACTTAATTCCCTAATGCACGATGTTGTCTGATTTTAGGATAGAATAAATAATTAACTGATGATAACATACGTGCCAGACATGTTGCAAATGCGTACATCATATTAAAAAAAAAAAATTCTAATTCTCAAAATATCGTGATTAATTTTAAAAATTAGCCATCCTAAAAATTGATCATTTACTCTAATGAAACCTTCCTTAAAGAATTCTTTTTTCGGCCATACTTAGATAATATCAGAAGTCATATTGTTTTTTTCAATCAGAAAATTTAATTGTAAGTAATAACTATTTTCCATCTGTTGATAAATATGACAATAAAGATTCTAAATTGTGCATCAAGACCATAGTCTGCATTATGATAAATAAGTCAAGATAAAATTGTGTACGTGATTATATTAGGAAAATGTAACACTTCATAATGCAGAGTATGATACAATGAAGCTACATGACGATCGAGCTTTTTACGAGCGATAAACAACCATGATAAACGATCGTTCATTTAAAGAAACAAACCACAAATAATGCACATGGTCACATAAATGTTATTTGCAGACACGTATATTTTCTATACATAGGAATAAATTTCAGTCTAAAATTTGTTGAAAAAATTTTAACAGACAAAATATAAAATCCTTAAAATGCATTAAATTAAAAGAAAAAAAGCTTGTGTTATGTTAAAAGATCGGAAGTCTATTTCTACAGTAGAGGTTAAATAGTTTAGATATGTGTTAGGGAAATCATTGTGTTGTTTAATATGTTTAAAACATTTTTACTCTACAGATCTTTCAGCAAGATTTTATATGGACATGGACTTCTACGATAAGAAATGATAGTATTAATAATTGTTATAGTTGTCTATTAATACGAGTACATCCATTTTGGTTAAAATTATACCGTGTCGTGTGGATTACTTATTTTCAAACAATGTTCGCGATAACAATAAAACATATGACCATGCACTTGGTATTGATTTTTTAAAGTAACCGTGCATATGATAGGCTAGTTTGGATTAAGAAACATTTCCCACCTAAATTTATAAAATTATATTGACGTTACCGAGGCTCAGAAGTCGGCATTACTTCTTTGTTTAACTATACAAAGTCACGTTATCTTCCGTTATAATAGTATGAAAAAAAGAAGAAAACCCAACAAACAAACTTAACATGCTTCTGAGGAACACAGAGGGGTGCCGGCTTGAAACGGTCTGCAGCCTCAGTACTGCTGGGGGCTTTTAAAATTTTATCTTACCGTATAAGTGGTTTTTTTCTGCGGGCTCCAAATTCTGCGGTTTTTCCAAATTTTGGCATGTTTTTATTTCTGCGGACTTTATTTCTGCGGCACAATCTTTGGACAAAAACGTGATTTAAATTCTGCGACTCATCCTATCAAAGTCTAAGTCACATTACTTTACCTATTTTATTTGCATGTACACATTCGCATTGAAATTTTGTTTACCGTCGTCACCGCAAAACTATATGGTAATTACAACAATTATAGTGTTTGCTTGCAAACAAATATAATGTGCAATAATAGACAGTTTGCATCTTTTGATCAGCGTGACATGACGTGTGAAAAACATGCCCCGGTAGTATCTTTAATTTAATAAAACTGATAGAAGTTTATCGTAAATCAGACACCAATTAATGTATACGACGACTATTTAGCAGTATTAGGGTTTAAATGGTTTTAATGATTTAGTGGTAAACAAACCTTTTATTTTTATAAACACTATGATGTTTAAATTTCTTTGTTCATAAATTGGCATAATAACAAATACATCCTTACAAGCACATATTACATACTTAGCCGAAAGCAATTTTATATAATTCGATGACCCGCTAACCGTTATAATCCGTTAGTCGTTGGAAACAGGTCATAATGTAGGACAGATATCGTTAAAAAAATGTAGAGAAATATTCTGCGGTTTTTATTTCTGCGGTGCTGAAACTGACCGCAGAAAACGCAGAAATAAAGACACCGCAGAACAAACCACTTATACTGGTTACACTCTATATTGTTCAAATAAAATGAAAGTTTTTTTTTATACCTCCGTATTCTAAATATTAATTGACGTATAAAATGTGCAACCAGTTTGTATTAATGTATTCACTACTATTATGCCTGGAACTAAGTATCATTTCTATATGGAATGATATTGAGGTAAAAATTACACAATGCCTGCTTGCACTTTCATCACGCTTGTTGACAATTACACACTGCCTGCTTACTGTTACAAATTACTCATTGACACTGTTATTGTGCTTATTGGTACAGTCATTATGCATGCTTGCACTTTTTTCACGCTTGTTGACAATGATACCATGCTTGCTGGAAGTTACAACTTGTTTGGTGATCAGTCCCTGATGTCTATATGACTAAATGAAAGTGCAATGTAGCGTAAATATTTCAACATACCGGGACTGTATATAGGCTTTGATATTTCAACATTGCACGGTTATAATGCTCCTAGAACAAAACACACGATGTGACCGCACAAGATGAAAGATGCAATTAGCCACTAAGCAAGTTGAAAGTAAGCATAATGTGAATTATGCATTCAATATTGTAATTACATGTAATGGCAATGGAAGTCGTTGTATATTATGCATCAATAGTGCTAATATGCAATAAGAAAAAGTAAACCAATTCAGCCAGAAAAGCGGGATCGTATTAATAAATATAGGGATCCCGGAAATTGACCAGTCTAAGAGATAAGCCGGGATCGTATTAAAACATATAGGGATCCCGGGAATTGACCAGATCAAGGATATAGTTTTCAGAAAAAATGGGATCGTATTTAAACATTAAAGGATCCCGGGATTTGACCAACTCAAGAATATAGTCTTTAATTTCTCCAATTAATTAGGCATATAATTATAAGTATTGTGATTTCCGCATTTTAAGTTTGTTAATAAATAGCTCTAAATATATTTATATCCTAAGTCAAATTAATTTACCGTTCATTACATACAATAAAAAATAAAATTAAACGTTTTTAAAACCGCCTTTCATTACGACAATAATCATTACACAAATAAAGTTTATTAGTTTTCCGTCTATATCTAATACAA